CAGCTGGGGCCCAGCCAGCCTGGGAGAGGGGGGGCCGTACAGGTCTGTGAGTGGTGAAGAGGTTCTTGTGCCATGGGGGTGCCCACAGCATTTCCCAGGGCCTGACTGGATCCCCTGGGCAGTGCCCAGTTCTCTGGCACGGTGGGAGCCATCCCCCTGGTTTGATCGGGCATGTCAGCTGCTGCTCCCACTGGGGAGCTGCATGGCTGGCACTTCAGGGAGCAGGGCCCCCACGAGCTGCGGGTGTCAGAATGGTACTGACTGCTTCGTTCCTGCTTGTGCCGCAGCTTCTATCTAAGCGAGATCACGCTGGCCCTGGGCCACCTGCACTGCAACGGCATCATCTACCGGGACCTGAAGCCGGAAAACATCATGTTGAACATCCAAGGTATGGAGCCCGGGGGCAGCGGGGTTCGATGCGGGTTGCAGAGAGCCCTGGCTGGGGAGGTCTGACCCATGGGGTCTTGTCTCCCTCAGGGCACATCAAGCTGACGGACTTCGGACTGTGCAAGGAGTCGATCCATGAGGGAGCCGTCACTCACACCTTCTGTGGGACCATTGAGTACATGTAGGTGCCCCAGAGACACCCACCTCCCCTCGCACTGCTCCCCCGAGCGACCTGGCCCCAGAGACATCCCCTCTCCCCTCACGCTGCTCCCCTGGGGGGCCTTGGGGTGGTCAGTGGCTGGCCCAGCAGCTCAGGGTGTCTGTTCCGCCCCTAGGGCTCCAGAGATCCTGATGCGGAGCGGACACAACCGGGCCGTGGACTGGTGGAGCCTCGGGGCCTTGATGTACGACATGCTCACTGGATCGGCAAGTCCTGCTCGTGCTGTTAACGTGGGGGTGGGGGGGCCGGAGCCACAGGCCGAGTGTTTCCCCTTTCCCCAGGTACAGTTCTGGGCCTGGCTGTCGCTCTGTCCCATGAGCCTTTGCATCAAACGGCACCTTCCCTCACCCCAGCGCGATCCCTAACTCTGCACCCTCTGCCCCAGCCCAGACCCTTGTTCTGCGCCAGGTTCAGCACCCCTTGTGCCCCTCCCCCGATGCTGAGCCATGCCTCTCCCCTAGCATGGCCCCCTTTTGCTGGTGCTCACACCTTGCCCCGCCCCCGTGCTCAACCCCCTCTGTGCTTCCTTTGTAGCCGCCCTTCACGGCTGAGAACCGGAAGAAAACCATCGACAAGATCCTCAAGGGGAAGCTGGTGCTGCCGCCTTACCTGACCCCCGACGCCCGGGATCTACTCAAGAAGGTACTGCTTGCATGCCCTCCCCCCGCCCCCCCCAACTAGGATACTGCCTCACGCTCCTGACCTGTGCGAGGAGGTGCCACTCCCCCCAGTAGGTTACCAGCACCTGCCCCTGTCTGACACTTGCCATCTCCTTCACTTCCACTCTTCAAAGCTGCTGACCCATCAGCCCCAGAACCAGCAGGGTGTGATCTTGGATCAGGGCTTTTGTGTGGGTCTCACCAAAATAGCTGCCACTAGATGTGGAATCAGGATGGGGGCAGAGGGGGAACCCCCCACGTCCCATGTCCGCCAGGCTGTGTTTCCTGAGGGCCCCCTGACTCCATTCTCTCTTTTCAGTTCCTCAAGAGAAACCCCAGCCAGAGGATTGGGGGCGGGATGGGCGATGCAGCTGATGTGCAGGTAGGTAGGTGGGAGGGAATGGGCAGTATGCAGCGCTCTGAAGGGGGGATTTTCTCCCCTAGCTGCACCCATGGGCACACCAGAGTCAGTGGCAGGAGGCGGCTCCCTTCCATGTGCCATGGCTCTGGGCAGGGGGTGGAGCCTCCTCTCCACATGGGCACAGGCTCGTGCCCAGCCTTGCCATGGCCTTCCTGGGCCCAGGACTCCCCGCACCACAGGGCGTCTGCATGGGGAGCCCAGGGGAGGGCACAGGCCTGAGCTGGGCAGGTACCCATGCTGGGCAAGGGGGAGGAGGGGGCATCTGCTGGGCTTCTGACCTCCTGCCTGTGTGTCTGTCCCTACAGAAACAGCCGTTTTTCCGCCAAGTCAACTGGGATGAACTGCTGGCGCGCAAGCTGGACCCACCCTTCAGACCCTGCCTGGTACTGCCCTGCCCCTGCCCCCAGCCACCCCCCAATGACAGGAGAGAGCCAGTCCATTGCTCCCTGCTTGCCTTGCCCAGCCCAGCCTGGGCTGAGCTCAGAACAGGCCTGCCTTGCTCTCTCCCACATGGCAATAGATGTATCACCCCTAGGGGGCCTCGCAGCTCTCAGCACCCTCCCCCGGGTGGCAGTGCAGAGCACTCGCACCTAGGGCTCCTTGCAGCCCAGCCCTCCCGGTATTGGGGGAGGGAGACCGAGACAGTGTTGGAGAATGGGACCCAGATGTCCAGGACAGCTGTGCAGAGCGCTCAGCCCCCATGAGGCCCTGCAGCTCCCAGGCCCTGGGGGAGGAAAACCTGGATGGCAAATGGGAAGCCAGATCCTTTATGTGGCAAGCCTGGTTGCCATCCTCCCCTGCTGGTGGATGGCGCTGATGCCAGGCTGCCCCTCCTGTTCTGGGCCGACCCCTCTTTGTCCCCCTCCCTTCTGCCTTGCAGCAATCGGATGATGACGTCAGCCAGTTCGACACCCGCTTCACTCGTCAGACCCCCGTGGACAGCCCTGACGACGTCTCCATTAGTGAGAGTGCCAATCAGGCCTTCCTGGTAAGGACTCCCAGCAGGGGGTGCTGTCACAGCTGGGAGGGGGTGGAGCTAGCACTGCCCAGCCCCACCCTCCCCAGCAGGGGGCCCTCTGACACCTGGGAGGGGGTGGAGCTTGCACTGTGGCATCCCTGCTGCTCTGACCTCTGTGCTCTCTGCAGGGCTTCACCTATGTGGCCCCATCGGTGCTGGAGAGCATTAAGGAGGGCTTCTCCTTCCAGCCAAAGGTGCGCTCCCCTCGCCGCCTCAACAGCAGCCCCAGAACGCCCGTCAGGTACGGCTAGGGGCACCTCCAAAGGAGGTGACCAACAGGCAGGGTTCCTTTCCCCTCTAGGGGGCACTGGCTCTGATCCAGCACCAGGCTGGGGGAATTGCTTGCCTCAGGGGGATGGGGAGTGGGATATGAGGCCTTCCCTCTCTAGGGGGCAGTGGCTCTAGCATTCCCTTCCTGGGATTTCCCAACAGTAGATACCCCTCTCTCTGTATGGTGTTGCCATGTGGAGCTGTGGATCTGGGTGGGCAGGGAGGCAGTGCCAAAGCGTGGGGTTGTTAACAGGGTTCCCGTGGAGGGGTTGCGATGGGGGCTGTGGATTGGGGCTTGGGGGAGTTGAGTGCCAAGGCCTGGGGCTGTTGATTGCAGGGTCTCACTCCCAGTTTCCTTCTTGCTTTCAGCCCGTTGAAGTTCTCTCCCTTCGAGGCCTTCAAACCCAGCCTGGTGGTGGAGCCCATGGAGCTAGGGCTGCCGCTGCTGCCACCCCCACCAGAGGGCACGGCCCCCCTGCCCATCAAGACGCCGACGGGCACCAAGAAGCAGAAGGGGGGCCGGGGCCGGGTGGCAAGGTAGCTTGAGGCAGGCATGGTGCCCCTGCCTGGGCAGGAGACTCAGCTTGGGCCGGCGGGAAGCTCCCCATGGAGGTGCCCAGCCTGTCGGTGACCCATGGGGTGGACATAGCCCCCTGACAGCTGAGTGGGGCTGGGGGGTGTCGGGGCCCCCAGCCTGGATGGACTCAGGAGGAGATGCTTTGTCAGGGCTGCAATTCCAGTGGGTGGGGCAGCCCCGGCTGGGGAGGGCAGGGGTGCTGGGCCCCCGGGCTGCAGCTCCCACCCACGGGGTTTTTAACCCTTCCTTGGTGCTCTGTTTTTGTTGCTACAAATCATGTTTCGGGTTCGAGGGGCTGCGCAGGGCGGGGTGTGTGTGTGTGTGTCAGCGCTAAAGGAGAGCAGAGCGTGGGGGGTAGAGCGTGGCAGGGGCGTTGTCGGGGGGTGTCAGTGTGTGCTGGGGGGGAGCAGAGCATGTCTGGGGGGCCTGTGTGAAGAAGGGCATCGTGCAGGGTATGTGGTGGTGGGGGGGGGCAGAGCCCCAGGGGTCAGGGGGGCAGAGCCTGGAGAGGCATGGTGTGGGGGGGACAGTGGGGGTACTGAGTATTGGGGAAGTGACCACGCTTTGTCTCCTCTGGGTGGGAGGGTTGCTGGCTTGTCTGCTGTACTCCGTGTCACCTTGTGACTTGTGGGGGGCAGACAGCCCCTCTCTGCGGCTGGGTCTGTGCCAATTAAAGCCTGGATATGGCTGTGCTGTGGCCCTCCCTTCTTGTTGCTGGGGGAGGGGAGGTAATTTGCCACCACCCCCTTGCCAGCTGCTCCATGGTGTTTGGGGGAGGGGTGTCACTCCAGCTGGTGGGCAGCCAGTTGGGGGAATTGCCCAGTGGGGAAGCCTCATACTCTGCTCCCATCATGTTGTAGGGCAGGAGGGCCTGGAGAGCCTTCCTTAAGGCCAGAAGGCTGGGGTCACCCTCCCTTCCCCTTCTTCCAGGGGTGTGGTTCACAGCGGGTTCTGCTCCTCCTATGCAGCCCCACCCCCAGCATTCCCCTCTGGGGTAAATGAAGCTGCAGAGTGTGACAGGTTATGAGCAATGCTGCCCCTTTATTGGTGCCTGTAGCGGTGCCTGTGGGCTAATCAGCAGCTCCCCAGTGGGAGTGGAGCCACACCCTCATGCCACGGTGTCACACCCCATATCCTGGTGCAGGCAGTGGGGGTGGGGGAGGAGGAATGCTAGAGTCAATGCAGAGTCTGGGGGGAAGGGGGCGCTCCCTGCTCTGCTTGGGCTGGCTCTCCTGGTGTGGGGGGGGAAGAGGTGGGGTGCATGGGGCCCCATTGCAGCCCCATGGCGAGGGGTGGAGAGCTCTGCAGGGAGGGGTGGGGGGTGGGGAGCAGTTCATCCCAGCTTCTTGCGGGGGGGCTGGGAGCAGTTGTTCACCTGCAGTTGCTCCCCAGTGAGCAAGTGGGGGGCTGCATTCCCTCCTGTAGTCTGTGTCCTTCCCTCAGCTCCCCTAGAGGGCAGTGACATGCTGGCGGCTGCCTCCCTCCGCGGCGCTGTCCTCCCAGGCAGCCGTCCCGGAGAAGGAGTGCAGGTCACTGAGCAGGCCCCCGGCGCTGGCACCCTCTGCCTCCCCTCCCTCTTCCAGGGCTCCCTCAGGGACATCGTGGGGCAGGGTCCCCTCTGGCACAGCAGTGCCCTCCTCCTCGCTCTGCTGCTCCTTCCCTCCTCCACCTTCCTCCTCATCCCGCTGAAGGGTCTCCTCCTCCTCCTCGTCCTCATCCTCCTCCTCCTCCTTGTCTTGCCAGTGCCTCTCAGGGGGCACCTGCCCTTGCAGCTCACGCCAGCGCCTGGCCAGGGCTGCCAGCAGGCGGTGTGGCTGGCACAGGTGGCGTGGGTGATACCTGCCCTCTGAATCATGGCTCAGCTTGCGCCAGGCCAGGGCCAGTACCAGGAGCAGCAGCAGGAGCAGGAAGACCAGGAAGACCACAGCCACGGAGTTGTTGTCTGGATTGGAGTCTGAGCCCAGCGCAGCTCCCGGAAGCATCAGGAGTGCCAGCCCTGCAGAGAGCAGCCCCCGTGGGGCACGGATAGCGGAGTGCTGGGGGAGGAGGGAAAGGGGACGAGGTTAATGACTGCCTGCAGCTGTGCCAGGCTTGTGGGCATGCCGGGGACCTTGGCACTGCATGGATACCCCTTCCCCATGCTCAACACAATAGCTTTGTGCTGCTGTAACACAGCACCCTGGACCCCATATTCACCACTGGGATATGATTGTGATATGTTTTGTGCAAAGTACACCTTGCGAGGTATCATTGTTCCATTGAACATTGCCATTCGGTTGGATTATCTGTACTGTTATGGCATGTGAAGTTAATGAAGTATTGCTATATGTTTGGTACTGAAATATGTGGTAAGTGGGACATGTGCACAGTCAGCCTTTCAGTGGTAACAAAGGAGCAACTGACAAGACAGATTTCCATCAGGCCACCAAGACATGTCTGGCTGGTCCTGTCAAGAATTCACTCTGAGAGGGCACATATGCGATGGGGGCTGTCTAACCTCCATGTCACAGCAAGGATCTTTCTAGCCCCTGAGGGTTGATGGCATCACCACTTGGCCTCTCTCCTTCCACATGTCAGCACCTGGAAGTTCATTTGGAAAGCAAAGTCTTTGAACCCGGGAGATTGGTCCCAGACTGGGAAGCAAATTCCCCCAGTGTAATAAGAACTGTAAACTGCCTGAAACATCCAGTGGGGTGTGAATCTGCTTGATTCAAATCTTGCTTAGTCAGTAGAATTTAGACTGAGGGTTTTTTTTTTTTTTCTTACATAACTAACTTTGATTTCTATGCCTGCTTCTTATAATCACTTAAATCTTATCTTTCTGTAGTAAATAAATCTGTTTTAGATTTTTCCTAAAACTGTGTTTTTGGTTGAAGTGCTGGGGAAATCTCAGGTGTACAAGGGCTGGTGCATATCCATTATCCTTTGTTGGAGTGGCAAACTAATTAATGGGCTTGCACTGTCCACGGAAGTCTTGAGCTGTGTAAGATGCTATATTTCTGGGGTGCAAGCTGGGGGCTAGGGTGATTTGTACAATTCATGAGTGACTTAGAGAGCATTCATGCAATTTAGCTGGATGTAGGTCTCCACGTGCTGTTGGCTGAGTGATCCCAGTAGCTGGAGGGGTTTGCTGCTTGTCACTGGCATAGCCTTGTGAGAAACAGCTCAGGTTATAGAGTTAAGGGGGCACAGAGGTCCCAAAGTTCCAGGTTGTACCCCAGGAATCCTGTCTCAGTGGCACAATGAGCAGGATGAAATGCATGGCTTGTTTTGACCGAGATTTGCAATTCTTACACTGGTGTAGAGATTTTAAGTAAGACTTTAAGTCGGCTGCCTCAATGCAGTCAAGAAAGAATTACAAGTTTATTATTTTGTGTTTGCATATTTTGGGAAAGGGAAATAGGAGCAGAAAGGCATAAGAATGAGTGAGTGACACAGTTGCCAGGTTAGAGCTGTACAGACTGCAGGTAGCAGAAAAAGAGAGAAACAGCACCAGTTGAAAATGAAAGAACCAGAGATAAAGGAGAGGGGGGGAAAGGCTGCCAGAGAGGAGACAGCACATCAAGTGACTCTAGAGCTGAAAACCAAGGACCCTGAGGAAGGAGAGAGATTGAAAACACCAACTGGACTTGCTAGAAAAGCAAAACCAGAACCATCTCACCCCACTGATTCCCAGCTCTCCAAAAATCCACAAACAGGAGAATTATGTCCTTCACATAAGGAGATGGGTGATATCATAGAATATTTTACTACTTTTGAGAGGCTGTGTGCAGCTTATGTGATTCCTGATGACAAAGTCCCCTCCCTGATTGCAAAGTTAACTTTTAAAGTTCTTACTATTCTCCAATGAAATGCCAATTTGGGATGCTTTAGGTTACTGTAAATTAAAAAAAAAACTGTTTTGAAATGATTTCAGATTACCCCTGAAACAGATAGGGTGACATTTAGAAATCTTAAGAGAAATGCTGATCTGAGTAATGGGGAATATGTAAACAGGATGAAAGATCTAATGGGGAAATGGATGAGGGAGAAAAGTTTTGAACAAATGTTTGACCTTGTTGCTCAGGAGCATTTCCTAAGCATATATAAAGATGATGTAAAACTAGGGTGACTAGATGCAATCAATTTGTCCTCCTGGCATCACTCTTTTTTTTTTTTTTTTTTTCGGCCATTCTTTGGGGTTTTTTTGTTGTTGTTGCTCCCACCCTCCAGTGTCCCGATATTTTCTTCCTCTCATCTGGTCACCCTATGTAAAACAGTATCTATGGGATAAAAATGTAAAAACTGTAGATGAGAAGGCATCTCTACCTGATGGCTTTGAGCAGACCCAGGCATCTATTGAGAGAAAGTCACAGAAGGGGGTGGTGGGGGTTAAACCTTGGTGGGAAAGGAGAATCCCATTTTGCCCCTGGGAAGAAAGAGGGAGGCTGGGCACTCACCACCCCAAACCTCCTGTGAAAATAGAAGAGCCCAAAAGGTGCTATCATAGTAATTCCACTGATCACCTGAGAAATAAATGCCCTGTGCTGGGAGGAAGAAGGCAACAAGTAGCCCATGTTAATGCTGCTGTCCTCAGCACAGGATCCTCTGAGGCACCTGACACTTCTTATATTGATTTTGTGGGATTGGCCTCTGAAGAAGTAGACATGGAACTCATAAAGGTTGTCAAAATTAATGGCAGGGAAAATTTAGGATGGGAAGATACAGGTGCAGAGATTTCTGTGGTTAAGTAGAATGTAATCCAAGAAGGTAACACATTGCCAGGACAGATAGCAGAGCTTTTATTAGTAGGAGGTTTCCAGATTCTTGTGCCTTTGACCATAATGCACAGTGAAACTGATGGGTTAGAAAGTGAATTAAAGGTGGGAGTAGTGGATGATATCCCCATTGACATGTTTATTGGGAATGATTTTTTCCATATAGCTCAGATTGTTGTAGCCTGCAGCAAGAAGTGGTTTGCACATTGGCCTGCTAAACCCAGGGTTGAGAGTTCAATCCTTAAGGGGGGTCATTTAGGGATCTGGGGCAAAAATCTGTTTGGGGATTGGTCCTGCTTTGAGCAGGGGGTTGGACTAGATGACCTCCTGAGGTCCCTTCCACTCCTGATATTCTATGAAATCTATGAATATTTTGCGGGGACCCCAGAGGGAAAGGGTAAAGTCCCAGAAACTGCTGAAGGAAAGAGAGAAAATCTCATTGATTCCTCTGCAGCAAAGGGAAGTAATATGATTCCAGGTGTGGAGGGAGGGGGGGGATTGAGACCAGCTCCTGCACCACAGCTGAAGGCAGCACCTCTTCAGGAAGAGAGAGGGGTGGCATGCCCCGGGGAGGGATAGGTCAGTGGTTTGAGCATTGGCCTGCTAAACCCAGGGTTGTGAGTTCAATCTTTGAGGGGGCCATTTAGGGAACTGGGGTAAAAATCTGTCTGGGGATTGGTCTAGATGACCTCCTCAGGTCCCTTCCAACCCTGATATTCTATGATTCCTCTATGAGAAAACTATTCTAGCCATTAGCTGTGAGCCCTTTGCAGCTAAACAAGGGATAGTTTTTTGCTCTAGAGAGCTTAGAGAGATGTGTCCTAGAAGGGATCCCAGAGAAGGAAAATGTGGAAAGAATAGTGGGAGCACATGGATATCTCACTGGTCACTTGGGAGAGGATGCCCAGGACTGAGTGGCTGATTCAGCATCTGTGCACCCAGGCATGCCACCTGTAACTTAGGTTCAAAGAGGGGACTGTGTAACTGACCTTTTGGAGGGTAGCAGTCACATAGCTAATTTCTCAGGGAAAGGTGTGATGAAGGTACTTCAATCCAGGTCCCAGTTTTTTAGGACACCCATAATAATAATAATATAAATATATGGAGATATACCTATCTCCTAGAACTGGAAGGGACCCTGAAAGGTCATCAAGTCCAGCCCCCTGCCTTCACTAGCAGGACCAAGTACTGATTTTGCCCCAGATCCCTAAGTGGCCCCCTCAAGGATTGAACTCACAACACTAGGTTTAGGAGGCCAAGGCTCAAACCACTGAGCTATCCCCATCTTTATATGATTGTGAAAAGTCAAGTCAAGATGCAGCTCCCATACCTGTAACAGCCAAGAAGCTGAGTCCAGGAAGCTTCCAGGCAATGGTTGTCTGTGAGCATGCAAATCACTCAGCTGGCGGAGAAGAGAGGCTGGTAAGACACACAAAGCAGCTGACGGAGAGCTGCTGGAAAAAGGTGTGTCTGACTAAAGAGCAAGCACTTGTAACCTAGAGACACAAATCATGAACCTCTAAAAAAGGGGGGTGGGGAAACTCCCAAAAGGGGAGATAGATTTCTTGCATATGGACATACTGGGGTGGGAGACAGCTCCACACAGGACCAGCCAAAATGCAGAATCCCCTTACATCCTTACCTCACCAGACTGTGGAGTACCAAAGCCCCAAAGATATGGATTGAGAACCCATACTGAAGGGAACACTGAAGGGAAAGAAAAGCCAGTAACTGAACACATGCTAAGGTTCAGGAAGGAGTTGAAAGACACAATGGGTGTTGAACAAACCAGACTGTCTAAATAGAGGACATGGTATGACAAAGCTATTTGTAAACACCCATCTGTGGTAAAGGGTTTGATGCTACTCTTAAACCTCTTGATAAACTTTGTGATGCTAATGGTAAACCTGGTGATGAAGAATTTGGGGCTGATGTTAAGCCTGATGAAAAGGTGCAATATGCATGATTTTGGGGGAAAGCTTTTGAACATGCTTGGAGTGGTAAATAAGATCAAACCATGTGTTAAGAAGCTCTGTAGCAATGCTGCTTTTCAGCTCATACCTGTAAACAGACTTGGAGCTTGTCACAGCAGAGAAACCATAATAAACCTGTTCTGCTATATGGAAGGGGAAACTGAGACACACCACCTTATCTTTATCATAGAATATGAGAGTTGGAAGGGACCTCAGAAGGTCATCTAGTCCAACCCCCTGCTCAAAGCAGGACCAATCCCACACTAAATCCCCAAAAGGATTGAACTCACAACCCTGGGTTTAGCA